GGATAACACCGACTCGTCTATTGTTTATCCAGCCGCCGAATTTCTCACCGGACCTGATGTATCGGCTCTGCAGCTTCTCTCTAACAGCCTCGAGTCCGTGTTTGACTCGCCGGAATCGTTCTACAGCGACGCGAAGCTTGTTCTCTCCGGCGGAAGAGAAGTATCTTTCCACCGTTGCGTTTTGTCAGCGAGAAGTCCTTTCTTCAAACGCGCGTTAGCCACCGCCGAGAAAGAGAAGAAGAGTTCCGATTCAACCGCCGTGATGAAGCTCGTGCTGAAAGAGATTGCGAAGGATTACGAAGTCGGATTCGATTCCGTGGTGGCAGTTTTGGCTTACGTTTACTGCGGAAGAGTGAGACGTCGGCCGAAAGGAGTTTCCGATTGTGTAGACGAGAATTGCCGCCACAGGGCTTGCCGTCCGGCGGTGAATTTCATGGTGGAGGTTCTCTATTTAGCTTCCGTCTTCGAGATTCCGGAACTAGTCAAACTGTATCAGGTATGTAACATGATCGGAGAAAGCTACATTTATAGAGTTAGTATATGTTCTTAATCGAATTTCGATTTGCATTTTCAGAGGCCTTTACTGGATGTTGTTGACAAAGTTGTGATAGAGGACACATTGGTGATACTCAAGCTTGCTAACATCTGTGGTAAATCATGCAAGGAGCTATTTGATAGATGCAGAGAGATTATTGTTAAGTCTTATGTTGATCTAGTGACTCTTGATAAGTCTTTGCCGCAACCCATTGTCAAAGAAATAGTCGAAATCCGTAAAGAGCTCGATTTGGAGGCGCCTGAAGTAGACAAACATGTTTGGAATATACTCAAGGCGCTTGACTCAGACGATCTTGCGCTAGTCAAGCTGCTTTTGACAGAAGGACACACCAATCTAGATGATGCGTGTGCTCTTCACTATGCTGTTGCGTATTGCGATGTGAGTACCGCAACGGAACTCATAAACCTGGAGCTTGCTGATGTTAACCGTAGAAATGCAAGGGGATACACAGTGCTTCATGTTGCTGCGAGGCGGAAGGATCCGGATCTGATACTATCTCTATTGACAAAAGGGGCAAACGCTTCAGAAACATCTTTGGAAGGTAGAACTGCTCTCTTGATCGCTAAACAAGTCACTACGGCGGCTGAGTATAATAATGTTCCGGAGCGATGCAAGCTTGCTGGCCGAGTATGTGTAGACTTGCTAGAGCAAGCAGACAAACGAGATCCATTTCCTGGAGATGTTTCTCCCTCTCTTGCGGTGGCTGCTGATGAATTGGAGATGAGGCTATTGGATCTTGAAGACAGAGGTATCCCTTAACTCTTATTCCTTTATTTTTTTTACTTTTAGGTTGAATTAGATTCTTCAGCGCTCATCAGAATTGAATCCCATGTGCTCTGCTAGGAAATCGAGTGAATTGATGCTGACTATACTTTGTATCCACTGTTTAGTTGCTCTGGCTCAACGTCTCTTTCCACTGGAAGCACGAGCTGCAATGGCTAACGCCCAAATGAAGGGAACAAGTGACTTGACTAGCATCGAGCCTGACCGTCTCACTGGTGCAAAGAGAACATCACCAGACCTAAAGAAATCGCCTCTCAAAATCATAGAAGAGCAACAGAGTAGACTAAAAGCGCTTTCCAAAACCGGTATGGATTCTCCCCTGTTTCATCTACTCCTTATATAAAAATAATGTTATATGATCTTTAAACATTGATTATTTTTTTGTCACTTGTAATAGATAACTGAAAGAAACCATGTCTGACCATGTTTCCTTTATCGTATGTATCATCAGTGGAACTCGGGAGACACTTCTTCCCACGCTGTTCAGCAGTGCTCGATCAGATTATGGACTGTGAGGCCTTGACTGAACTGGCTTGCGGAGAAGAAGACACTCCTGAGAAACGACTTCAAAAGAAGCAAAGGTACATGGAAATACAGGAGACAGTGAAAAAGGCCTTTAGTGAGGACAAGAAGTTTGGAAACTCGTCACTCACGGCTTCGTCTTCTTCCACATCGAAACCAACCGCCAGAAAGAGATCAAATGGTAAACTCTCTCTTCGGCGTAGGTGAGACTCTTGGGGAGTAATTTTTGCTGTACCATATATATCTGATTGTTATTGTTTCTGTCTATCGTTTAGCGTCATATAGTTTTGTTTTAGACTGTTGTTCTTGCTGCAGGTGTGTTTCAAACAAATGTTGTAACTTCCTGAACCATCGATGTATTTATGTACATGAACAATAATAATCCCATGATGTTGTTACAGAGTTAACAAGAATCAGAGTGGGTTTTCTCCTGCTAACAGAGTACCAAGAATATATATAATTAACGAACAAGATTGATCTTTCACATACAAAATGCACCAACGCAACATAACCTCAACAGGTTTAATCCTAAGAATGGCTCGCTTCGTTTCGACCCAAAATCTATCTAACTATCAGTTCTTCTCACTGGAAAAGAAACCCGAAAATCAAAAGGCACATGAATAGATCCCAAGGAACTTAAAACTTATGTTAGATCGTATACACAAACAAGTTGCTGCTTAGAACATTACTACTCTTCGTCGGTCTCTTCTGGCATGTTGCTGAGCTCATCTTGAATCATCACCTTCATAGATGGCTTTCTTGAGGTAAGGTCGATTTTGAACTTGTGAGATGTAAAAACAGGTTGAAACAATGCACACGTTATAAAGAAGAAATCATCGGCGAAGGAAAGAAAAATAACATCTGATCTTAACTCATACCAAGTCTCTTGACGATGTCAGTGAAGGTCTGTCAGAAAATAACAAAGCTATTGTTAGACATCTATCTTCTAAGAGTATAAAACTCTAAAACACATACATTTGTTGTGGTTCAATCCTCACCGTTCTAAACTCCACCGCTTTCAAGTTATCAGCAATTGCATTTCTCAACTCTTAATCTCCTTGGTTTTGTCTTTCCCTTTTCCATTTACTAGACGATACAAACAACAGGTGCCAGAGAAATAAGAGGATAAAATATTTCTGTCTAAATGAAAGATATATAGAAATCGATGATAACGGAACCTGGTTTCTTTATTGATGCAGATTTTGACTGCTCCTTTGTGGGTTTCTCAGTCTTATTCCTCTTAGTGGATGCCTTTAGACTTGTATCACTCTCCTTCCGTTTCCCTGATGCTTATGAATGTTAGCTTCTTCTTTTCAGGAATCATTGTTTAATATAAAAATGAGGATCCAAATTATTCAAACATTCTTTGTTTGGGGGTTCACCAAAAGCATAACTATCGAACGCTTTGGTCTTTGTTACGACACTACCATAACCTAAATCAGTTTAATCCTATAGTAAATGATACTACATAATCACCGATCAGTAAGCAATATCTACGCAAAATCCTAACTCCGGTTTGGCTAGGTTCAATCCAAATCCATCTTACTTTCAACTCTTCTTCTGACTAGTGCGAGGAGTAGTTTTGCGTTTGGACATGCCTGATACGTGAGTTGGAGGTGGTGGCGGCGGCGGGATGACCGGAGGAAACAATGTTGGAACTCCAGAAGCTTCAGGCCAACCTGATACTTCCGGAACAGGATTGAATTTAGCGGAGTATGTTCTGTCCAGCCGTTCCAGAGAACAATAGTTGTCTACATACTGCAAAGGGTTGATTTTGAGTTTCTCACAGACTGCTAGAGTGTGCAGACATGGAAACTTGTTCTTTTTAACCCTCACAAAATTTATGTTTCATGTCCAAAGTGATCTTAAATTTGTAGGAAACAACTTAGGGGATTTTTCGATGATTACTTTAAAAGTTTAGTGTTCATCTGATGCATAATGGTTAGTTTACATTGCATCAAACATTTGTGGTCTTCGTCTAGGTTCAAGGGCTCACCAAAAATATAATTAACGCCACACAACCTGAACCGGTTTAATGCTAACTTTTAGTTATTTTTCTTACTAGAAAGAGAAACCTAAAAAAACAAAAGGCTGTTGTTAAAGCGGGAATGAATCCTACTAAGCTTATGTTCAAACAAGCTGTTTATTTGAACATTACTACTCATCATCGGTCTCTTCTGCAAGCATAGTGCGCTCATCTTGGATCATTGCCTTTATATATGCCTTTTTTTGGGTTAGGTCGATTTCGAACTTGTCAGCTGTAAAAACAGGTTGAAACAATGCACATTACAAAGAAGAAAACATCTGATCTTAACTCATACCGAGTCCCTTGAGGATCTCAGTGGATGTTGCCTGTCATAAAATAGATTGGGGCTCATATAACTATCGAACAAACATGATTGATTCTCACAAAACAAAAGCCAGCAACACCATATGGCTCTGTTATGACACTACGATATATAACACAAACTGGTTTAATCCTACTTGCCGAAAATCAAAAGATATTATACATAATCACCAATAAGTAAGCATTGATCCATGAAAAATCCTAAGGCTGGTTTGGCTAGGTTCAATCCAAACCCATCTAACTTTCAACTCATCTTCTGACTAGTGCGGGGAGTTGTTATTGCGTTTGGACTTGCCTGGTACGTGAGTTGGAGGTGGAATGGCCGGAGGAAGCAATGTTGGAACTCCAGAAACTTCAGGCCAAGCTGATACTTCTGGAACAGGATTGAATTTAGCAGAGTATGTGCGGTATAACAGTTCAAGAGAATAACAATTGTCTACATACTGCAAAGGGTTGATCTTGAGTTTCTCACAGACTGTTAAAGCATGCACACATGAAATCTTGTTCTTTTGAAACTCCCCACATGTGCAGGTGCATTTGCTCAGCTGAACGATCCATCCATCCTTTTGTAACGGCTCTGTGACCTTAAACTCATTATTGTCTAATGGCATTACCACGTATGTAACAGAAGCTGTCCTGAACTCTTCAAGCTCGTCTATGACATGTTTAGTGTACATATCTCCTTGATTAAGCCTTCTACGGCTATCAGAAAGAACCTGATGAAAATTCATTCTGATCTCATCAAACAGAAGCAGTGTGACCGCTGTCACTGGGAGACCAGGAGACGGAAGGCTTTCACAAATATATTTCTCTATATTCATAGTCATATCTCCATATGACCGCCCACCGTCATGAGCAAGAGCCCATTGATGTGGAGGAATTTTGTCTAACCATCGCCGAGTTTCTGGGTTCTCCTTTTCAATGGTCTCCATGTGGAAATCAAATTCATCCTGCTGTATAGCCAATCCAGCTTGTTTCATAAGGCTTTTCAAGCGAGAGCTTTGGAACACATCATCAAATTGGGAGCTCAGGTGATCAAGACAGAACCTGTGATAAGCCCAGGGTTCTTTCCACAGAGAGCCAGGTTCATTAATAACAGCGAGAATGTCCGGGTCCAGACTGGAGATAAGGCAGAGCTCTTTCCTTTGCGTTACCTTGATTCCACTGAGAAACCAACGCCAACTATCCGAGGAAACTTCTTTGGTAAACGCAAATGCTAGCGGGAAATAGCAGTTGTCCGCGTCAAATCCCGAGGCAATCATCAATTTCATAGGGTACTTACCGTTCAAGTCTTTGGAGTCCACTACGATCAGAGGTTTACAATGTGGAAACCCTTCAATGGACTGTGGAAACGCCCAAAACACGCCACAGAAGGATGCAAATTCAGGATTAGGAGAATGATCATATGTATTTCCAGTCCACAAGTAGCTCATTAGATGAATGAAAAGCAGCCATTAATTTGGGTAATAATCTAAAACTTTGATCCCAGTCTCCGTATATTTTCTTTATCGCCGTCACTTTTATCTCTGCAGTTGCAAGCTCATAGCCAAACTTTTTAAGGCACCAACTTCCCAACTCATCAATTGTTCGTGTAGGTTGTACCTTTATCAGACATTCAATCTCCTCTGCTGCAAATTCCACTTTGAATTTCTCAGGCCCTATAGGACAACAAGTATGTGGACCACTGCATTTAGTTATCTCAACAAGTCCGTGTTCTTCCATTCTAGCTGCACCAAGTGACCAATTGCATTTCCATCTGATGCACTTTTCCTTTTCGGTCTCTCTTATTACATACTTTTGCCGCCCTCTAATGGCGCACCAGTCCACCGCCTTCTTAAGCTTATCAACCCTATACGCAATTCATGATCATCAACCCACAAACTGGATAGAAAGCAAGGTTTTGAAGCAGTAGAACCGGTACATTTATTCAAGCATGCATTTACTGATGAACTTAAGGATAAAAAAGCTTCTTAAGTGGATAAACCCATACCTGAAAATCGGAGATTACAGATTTAGGTGTCGTAAATCAGGAATTTTTACCGGTTCTAAGCGTTTCTCCGATCACCGTCGAAGACGACCACTTTCACTCTCACCCTCTTTACTCATACCCGAAAAGCAGAGATTACCGATTTAGGTGACGTAAAGAGATTGGAATTTTCAGACACTTCACCGGTTCTAAGCGTTTCTCTGATCACCGTGGAAGACGACCTTTCTCACTCTCACACTCCGATCATTTGCAAACAAAATTAAATTTATAGGAAACAATTTAGGGATGAACATTCGATTATTCCGTTAGATTCGGTTTGAATTTTTCGACCTTGTCCAGAATCTTCTCTCAATAGTTACATCTAAATCGGTTAACGAGACAGCCCAATCAAACCGGTCAGTGTACCAATCCAACGGAACCGGTTGCCATTTCTGAGGATTCTTTTTAGCTGTTCGAGTCCAAAGCTGTCGGTTAGCTCGAAATCAGGCGGAAAAAAAAAATGTTGGCTAGGGTTTGGAGATCGGAATTTGCTGCTGCTTCTGGTAGATCGATCATTGTAAGGTCGATTCATCATCTTCTCGCCAGGAAAGGTACGATTAGAAAGAGTGTACCTTCTTCGAGCGAAGTAGCTTTTGAAGGAGAGGAATTGAAATTGAGAAGTGGGTTTCATTACATCAATAGCTTAGATGATGCGATTGCTTTGTTCGACGATA